CCCTGACCACCATGGTCGAGAAACTGAAAAGTACGGCGAATTTATCATGCATTTGGTACAGATATTAATCTTACCGTAGTATACCCCATCTGATTCCCTCGTGTTTGGTGGAAACTTTGTCCATTCTTTGGACATGAAGAATCGTAAGAATCTGACAAATGATGACCAACTATTGGCTGACTTTCATCCCAGAATTACGTGTTCAAGAAATCGAAATACGAACCCGTGTTCCAAAGAAATTTAGGTTCCCAATGTTTACCAAGTAAGTCTCCAAAGTATTGAGTGTCAACGCAAACTCATCAATTGTAGGCTCTGTTGGTACGCAGGTGAACATTATTGTCGAGACCTCAAATCCAAAGAAGAGTTTTCACCACGAATCCTGCGCTCGTTAGATGCTCTGGCAATGTACCTCGTTTCGGAGGCACGTATCATGGAACGCGGTTCAGAGGCTGCCAAGAAGGAGGCACGTGAGAATGTACCAGCAGACAAAGTCAAGGACCCCTCGATTCTTGCTCGTGAATTACGATGGAGAGTGCGGAATGCTGCTGGCGTTGACTCGGACGCCGAGCTGGGAGGGGATGATGCGAACATTATGCCAATCAAAAGAGAGCTCGGCTCCTCGCGCGAGACAGCGAAGAGAAGAAAACGTGAAGATGGTACATCACTGTTCAAGAATTGGCAACCACCAGAATGGAGCCACATTGAAAACTCGCCGTTGCAGACATCGCACGATACTATCAAAGTCGAAAATGCTGCCGATGAGGATGGTGGCTGGATGGCTAGTGAAGGATTGCAAGGTGATGTTATGAGAAGCAAAAAGGTCAATGGGGTTACCAAGGTTCGAAAGCTGGACCATGGAGCTATTGAACGCTACTCTGTGATCAGAACCGTTGAGTATGTGACACCCAGCAGCGCGTCAAATGTTGTTAAAAAGGAATCTTTATAACCTATGATTAACTTGTACAATATATGTCTCCTCCAAACTATTGATCCAATTCGAAGAGTGGCTAGAGATAGTATTCAATTCTTAACCCCAACCACACCCTAGCTAAATGCTCGTTGACTATGGAAGTGACAGCGAGGCTAGTGACGATGGCCAGAAACAAGATACTAAATCAATAAAGCAAGCGCAGCCGGTCAAAGCAGCGCCGGTTCCCTCTTCATCACTTTCAGCCCCCCTTCCAAAACCACGTAGAAGAGATGGCCCGCTCAAAATCACCGTGGAAGCACCTACAAGAGATGCAAATGATTCTATTGTGGATTCTCGCCCAATAAAGAAGGCTAAATTGGAAGGGGCAGGTGCCTCATCCCTACTGTCTATGCTACCAGCTCCTAAGAATAAAATCCCCATTGCGCCAAAGAAAACCGCCTCCCAATCGGCACCTATAGCATTCACAAAGTCATCATATGATGGAATATCCATAGATGATGCTGGAGAGGACGGTGAACAGGCCCCAAAGACGTCATCCTTATCTTTAATCCCTCCTTCTCGAATGGCCAAAGGGAAGAGTAAGGCGATTGAACCAGTAGAGCCAGTAGAAGACTTCTTTTCCATCGGTGGGGAGCTTTATTCTTTCTCTGGATTCAGTATTGATTAATCGTTACAGAAACTATAGGCCACGATAAGAAAAGCACACTAGGCTCCACTGCAGAAGACGATGGGCCACCGAAATCCACTATAAAGTCTGCTGCACCTTCTGTAAAGGATTTTGTACCCCCAGTGCCGACACAAAACGACCCATATCCAGGCTACTACATGAAGCCCAACGGTGAATGGGCGATGCACGATCCGGAATATTATTGGTCCATTACAAAAGCATGGCAGCAACCACCAGGAGCAGATATTACCATGCAAGGTTCTTCAGCTGCTACAAATAAACGAAGGAGAGGTTGGGAAGGAGAAGAAGATGACCTCCAACAAGTTAGCGCTATGGATGAAGCCAGTCGAATGAGAGACGAGATCGAAAATACAAAATCACTCACCGTAGATACCATACGCGCGGGTCCAACCGCACCGAACATGACTATGACGGCAGGTTGAATCGTTTCCTCCTACTTTCCGGACTAATGTATGATGACAGGCTGCAAGATCTTCAGCAAGAGCTCGATCAAGACATCAACTATCTACGCTACTCACAGATGCTTATTCACGTCGTGCTGAGATCGAAGACAAGATTGCTATGGTATGTCACACTATTCGAGACTATGGCTCCCTCTTACGTCTTTCTCCTTGCAGGCTAAGCGCAATCGGAAGGAATCGGGGAACAAATATGGTACGCAACTTCATTGTGCAGTGTGGGGATTGTACTGATAGGAGACCGTCCAGGATTCTGAAATTAGCCGCGGATAAAGTCGTATATGGCTCCTCATTAATGTATAGATATAGATACAATAATTGCTCAATTAATTCGACTCTGTTGTTGCTTTATTGTTGTGCTAGACTATTACGCAGTAAGGCCACGCCATCAGATCCATTGAGGACTGTCATTTAACCTCTCCCTGACCACCATGGTCGAGAAACTGAAAAGTACGGCGAATTTATCATGCATTTGGTACAGATATTAATCTTACCGT